TACTGCCAAGTAATAAACCCATATCGCTTTCCATCACTGCATTTCCTGTAGCATATAAGCTAGTCGTAGAGAAAACTTTCAGACATTCTCTTTTGAATTGAAGGTAATTTTAGACTCAAACGCGTTTATCTATGCATCAACAGCTTACTTTCACGCATCAACTGTGCTCACTCTGTCAACTTTTTACTGAATATGAGGTACTAATTTGACTTTTGAATGCCGTCAAAGTCTAACATCATTCTATACGCTTGGAGGAATTTGTGATGGTTACTGTTTGGCATGTTTGATAACACTGTGCAGGCAATGCGGCAGGGTCGCTTCCAGAGCCTTGATTTCGGGAGTACGGAGAACATGGTGAAGTACAATCAGACTGTTCCACCCCCCTACGGACTGGATACGGTGGGGGTGCCGGTGACTGTATATTGGGGTGGACAAGATTGGCTGGCACCACCGCGAGACATAGGTCGCATCCTGGTTGAGCTTTCTCGGAACCGGAGCTCTCAAATACGTGATGTCTACCTGTCGGACTACAACCATCTTGACTTCGTTTGGGGTTTAGACGCTGCTCCTCGCATCTACAACGACATCATTACCTTCTTCCGGCGAAACCAATAGACGCTCCCCTCTCAGGCTTTAGCGATTTTAATAACACATTTTTCGTGTACCTGTAATCTCATCTACCTTCCATCTATATCGGGTCTGCTTTTAGTGATCCTCGTTGGGGAAAACATGTGAAAATGGTGGTCAGATTGTGTCTGCTCTGTTCTTTAGAGTTGTTTTCACTGCAAATGAGTTCGTCACCGTTGTCGTGTAACTGTGCCTGCAATGCTTGTTATCAGGGTGCGCCAAATGGTATGATGGACCGTTCGGTTGGGTTTAAAGGCAAAAAGTGGATAGATACTACGGGGGACATGGAGCGACGGATTGGTTGAGTCGTGTGGCTCGTTGATAGTGCGATGGAGCAGCCAGTATTTTAACTTGTTGCTCGTGGTTTGGCACGGTTAGCCATGTCTCGGGTGTTTAGCCTTTCGTCCAATTTGTCCGATCACCGCATCCTCTACCCACCAAACGAGTTGTTCGTAGGTGCTGCAATGTCACGACAGATGCAAAGGAAGTAGTTTAATTGTATTTTTGGTAATCTCTTTGTGAGATCTTGCGAGTACTGCCTGACACCGTTCTCTCACAAGATTACGCTCGTCAAGTAGCGAGGATATCGCCTCAAACTACAGCATAATGTCGGTGCATGGTACCGTGGTTATTGCACGGTAAGGTAAAGGCGAAGGCAAATTGTCTTCCTAGTGGGTGATCTACTTTCCACATTCTCCTATCTTTTCAAGTGCTGACTTTTAAACTTGAACAATAAACTCAAAGAGCATCTTTGGAGTTCAAATGGCAAGACTTTGTGCGAAACTGGCATCTTTGCCTTTCCAAATTGCGGGTAATTACACAGTGGATCCAGTGCACCCAATAAATAGCCTTTTAAATGTTTAGTCTTGGGAGAATTATTTGTGGCTCTGCTCAAAGCCGATTCACTTCTCCAAGCAGTAACAATAGTTATTTCAAGGATGTGGAGTTATTCCGTTTTCTACTTCGTCACGATGAGAGAAACTAGCAGAAAATAAACCTGTGGAGGTTGTGC